TTTTTTTTTTATCAATTACAATCACATTATCGCACCTTAAAATTTTTTGTAATTTTTTATTTGGTATTGATTAATGATTTTACCTGTTTTGTTACATCATTATCTCCTATACTTGTTATTAAAGTTGGTGCTAAAATTTATCGAGTAAATGACAGAGATTGCAATGATTAACACTAGGGTAAAATGTTCAATCATATTCATGCACACGGCCATGGTAGTAGCCAGAACCTTTTACGTGTTGTTTAAGAAATTTGAGGGGATATTCTCCCGGCGATAATGAAGTCCTCGAAAGGAAGTGATTGATTGAAGCTGGTGAAAAATCAAAGACTGTTAATCTTGATTTTGGAGAGGGATCGACATGTGGTAGTAAAGAGATTTCCTTCAGCGATTTGGGCGGAGAGAATGATGGCTCTAATCTTTGAACTAGACACAAAATGACATATTTCTATGATATTAATTAATTTTTCGTCGAATTTAACAAAAACTAGTGTATCCAAATCTCCATTAGGAAGCTAACAACATAAAGTCACAGAGAACCCATACAAATTTCCAAGCATCACCATCAACTCTACAATAATAACAACAATTTGTTTATTAATTGAATTCTAGCGACTCTAAAATAGAAGTTGATATAAAGAGTACAAATTATTTATCGGTGAATCTGATAGACTTTCGGTGCAAAATTAAAATTGAAACAAGAAATGGTGATGAACGTACAAATGATAGTGACTGATCCATTGAGAGGATTCTGGTAAGTCCATTGAGGTAATGTAGCATGACAATGGCAAGGAAAAACACAATAACTACAGAGAAACTTGATATAAAGAGTTTTTTTTTAATCACCACCACATACCATGGGTTTCTACATCTGGTCTATGTAAAATAAAAAAAGGTCCAAGTGATGACGAAGTTGAGAGGGACGAAAATCAATGAGTTATTTTGAAGAAAGAAAAGTTTCAAGATATATAACTGTATATCTTCATACCAATCAATTTTCTTTCTTTATGAATTTATAATCACATTATCAAGTCTTAAAAGATCTCTAAATTTTTTTTTTTAGTATTAGCTAATTATTTTACTTGTCTTGTTTCGTCATCTTCTCAAATGCTTTCTATCAAAACCAAAGATATTCAACGAACAATGACAAAGATTTTAGTGACCAATAATAGGATAAAAGGTACTATCATATTCACGTATACAAAGAGGGTAGTAGCCAAGAGATTTAACGTGTCATTTGAAAAAGCCGATAAGATATTACACTAGCAGGAGGGAAAGGACACTAGTAAGTCCACTGGGGTATTGTGACGCGTCATTGGTGGGGATGAAAAACGATATTGACACTATAACTACAGAAAGACTTGATACAAAGAGTGTTTTAAATTGAGGTATTATTGCACACAATGAGTTTTTGCATTTGGTGTATGTAAAATTAAAGAATGTCTAAATAATGACTAAGATCAAAGTTGTTTTGAAGAAACATAAATTTCAAAGCACAAAAATGCATATCCTCCTCTTAATCAATTTCCTTTTAAAAAAAAAAAGAATGTCCAATCACATTACCAAACCTCAAAGAATTTTTATAATTTTTGTTTTTTTAGTATTGGTTAATGATTTTACTTGTCTTAATAGTTAGTGATTCATAGAGAAGACTTTAGTGAGTCCACTGAGATAATGTAACGCGTTGTTAGTGGGGAGAAAGACGATATTGCCATTATAACTATAGAAAAACTTGAATAAAGAGTGTTTTTCTTTAACTTAGTACGACACATCATTGGTTTCTTCATTCAATATATGTAAAATCAAATAAGGTCCAAGTGATATCGAAGACAAGAAAGAAGAGAATCAAAAATTTGAAAGCACAAAACTATATATCATTATCTCAATCAATTTCCTTTTTTTTTTTATCAATTTTCAATTACATTATAAAACCTAAAAGTATTTTTATAATTTTTCTTTTTCTCATATTAATTAATGATTTTTCTTGTCTTGTGTTGTCATCTTGTCTTATACTTGATATCAAAGTTTGCACTCAAATTTATAAAGCTAACTATAAATATTGTAGTTACCAACAACAGAGTAAATTTTTTTATGATATTCATGTAATCAGTGAGGGAAGTAGTCACGAATTTGACGTGTCATCTAAAAAACCCGATGGGATATTCCACTAGAGTGAAAGAAGTCACTTAAAGAAAACGATTGATCGACATCAACAAAGCATTAAAGACAAGAAATCTAGATTTTGGATAGGAATCAACATTTGACAGTGGAGAGATTTGCTTATGTGATTTGGCGGGAAAAATAGTGGCTTTTGTAACACCCAAAGATTTTTCTTTTATTTTTATTTTTATTTTATTTTAATTTAATTTGAAATTTTGTTATTTTTATTTTTATTTTAATAATTAATTTAGAAAGTTTTAATTTAATTTAATTTAATTTAATTTAATAGAAATAAAAAATAATAATAATAAAATGGGGTAAAATTATTTTTGGGATTTAATTGAAATTGAATTTGAGAAAAAGGGGTGAAAATTTGGATTATAGGGGTATTTTTGAAAAGAAAATAAAAAATTGGGGGGTCAAAACACAATTTAGAAAAATAGCACCACGTCAGCAGCCGCGTCAACAGCCCGGTCAGCAACCTCGGCCAACCAGGACACGCCGCATGGCAGGGATGCTGACGCGGGAAGCCACGCGGAACAGAGACATATGGGCGATCCGCGTGCGCACGATCGGACGACCCAGATCCGTTCCCGCACGCACGGACGGCCCAGATCAAAGGCGCGTGTGGACGGCCCAGATCTCACATGTGCGGACGGTCCAGATTTGATCACGCACGAACGGCCCAGATCGCATCGCAATGGACGGTCCAGATTAAATCATGATGGACGACTCAGATTAAAAGGGGAGGGTTATAAATAATCGCATCCACACCTAACCCTAAACCCTAACTGCCAGAACCCTCACCGGAGAAGACGACCCAGCCACTGGAGGAACTGGCCGCCGCCACCCGCCGCCGCACCGGAGGATTTTTTGGCCGCCAAACAAGGTAAAATTTCTCCCATTGGCTTGTTTTTCGATGCTGAACCTCCCTGTGGCCAAATCGGAGCCAAACTATCGGCCAATTGGCTGAAAAACACCGCCGAAGCCCAGCAGCGCCGCCGCAGGTTTCCTCAGTTTTTGCCTCCGATGAGGCCATTTCCGGTTCCCGTTCGATGTAATTTTTATACCACCGTGATCACCGTCTTTTTCTCTACAGGTTGACCGGAGCAAAACACCAAACCGCAGCTTGCTCCGGAGGAGCCGCCACACTCGAGAGCCCTGCCGCCGGTAAGCCTTGGTTTTTTGTAATTTTTTAGCCCACCGAGGGCCCTAGGGGTGTTTTATCACAGGAACCAATGCAAGTTTGGCCAAATTTGGCTGAAAATGGCCAGAAATGGCCAACTCGAGGTGGATCGTCACTGCGAGCGGGGGCGCCGTCACCGGAGCACGATGGAGCCACCGTGCCGGAATTTTAAAATTGGCCGAAAGGGCCTTGGGTCTGATTTGAAAATTTTTGGGGACATGTACAGGTACCAGAAGTGTGTTTTAATTTCTAGAGAAAAATTCAGGGAATTTAGAGATTATCCGTAGACGTAGTGAGAACCTAATTTTAGACTCCGAAACAAGTAAGGATCTCTCATCCTATTTCCTATTACGGCATTAAAGCTTAATAAATGATAAAATGGTATTTATGAATTAATAAATACATATAATTAATTAAAGTTGCTAATGGAGCCCGAATTTGATGTATTTTTCGGTCAGTTGTTGTTTGATTTATTTTACAGTTTTAAATGCAGTATGGTGCCTGATGTATTTATTCTATGGTTTCGTATGCATGAATCATGGTTTCATTTATTATGGTTTGAATTATTGTGAACCCGATGTTGTGTTGCCTTGTTTGGTGTCCATTACTGGTTTACGTGTTTATGTTTGATTAAATAATTGAGATTAAGAAAAGAATGAAAAAAGATATGCGAATTGATAAATGGATAATGTCGACAGGCTGACTAGATATCTTGGGAGATGGTGGACAGACCGGGTCCATAGGGAACCCTACCGGGAACGTGGTCTCTCATATTGGACGGGGTATAGAGACTTTATGTGTTTTGGCACCCATACTGGACGGGGTATGGGGACGGCCCGTTTCATCCTCATACCGAACGGGGTATTGAAGTTTATGGTTTTGACACTCATATCGGACGGGGTATGGAGACGGCCTTGGAATTAAGTTATTAATGTGAATAGTTTGCGTGTAGCAGGGACCTCCTATGGATCCCCATGGATACTAGTAGGCTGATAAAAAAGAAAATTTGTTGCCGATGATTGAAATACAAAAGTATGATATGTGTTATGGTACAGAGTGTGCATAAATTCATGATATTTATCATGTTATTGTTTCTTATAAGTTGTTTTCATGAATTTTATTGAGGTAAATGGACAGTAAATGTTTTTATTATTAATAAATAAGTTTGTTATAAATTATGCTCCATTGGTCGTTTTTGTTTTTT